AATATTTAATTCTGCTGTCTTCTGGTTCTTTCTTTACCATAGAAATACCAAGGTCTTAGGGATATTTTCATTACGCATGTACCATTGTGAACACGTGATTGATCTAAGCATTTTTGATTGGAACCTTTGTATTATATCARTRTTRGTTGCACAGGTCGTACCCCACAGTTGAATGCCATACATCCAAATCGGCTTTATGGCCTCTCTTATCTTCATTCAAGTTATTTTGCTAAATATATGTTTTCTCCACGTAAGTCTTCTATCTAAGTGAATACCAAGATAAGTTACTTGATTCTCTTGCGGTACTAAAATATTGTTCGTTTTTACTGCCGGACACTTTTTTGATCTTACCGGAAACGTAACATGCTTACACTTTTGCCATTCTTCGACAGACCTTAAATGCTCGGATAATATTCTTGATGCTATTAAGTGGCATTTGTTACGACTCACTAAAGCTGTGTCATCCGCAAAAGTTGATGTTAATACATTATTAGCTCTTTGAAGATCTGCTGTATATATGATGTATATAGTTGGACCCAAAACACTGGCCTGTGGTAGGCCAGTCCTTATTGTCGTTCATCAGATATGAAATCTCCCACTTTTTCCATAAATTGTCTGTTGACTCCAATGCTCTATACAATTCTAAAGGTAGTATGTTTTCAATCTTTTATAAAAGACCTTCATGCCACACATTATCAAACGTCTGAACTAGCTTTTCTTATTTCGTTAGTAATTCTATAGATAGAGTAATCGTGCTATGAGCACTTTTACATCAATATTTGGTAACTCAATTAGCATTTTTAGGGTAATATTATCATATCCCAGCAACTTTTTTTTGTTTAAGCTCTGTAATGAATCTAATAGTTTCGAAAGGTGAAGAGAAAGACTCGAGTGACTCGTTAAATGTGTTCGGTAAGCTGGACAATTCAAATATTTTGTTTGGTGTTGCTAAGACAGCTGCGCTAGTTATTATATCATTGAGTTCTCTTATGCATTCCTCAACATCCCTTCCTGTATTTATTTTGTGCTCAACATTTATGTGGCTACTCACTTATTTTTGATATTTTAGCCAGTTCGTTTTTAAGATGTTAGACCCACTTTTGGGTCAACGAATATGAGTTGTTCACATAAATTTGTTAGTACAGGAGAGTGATCAGTACACGTATCAGCAGTTCTGTGCGATTTATCTATATTCTTGATTACAGCAAAATCAATTAAATCTGGTATTTTGTTACGATCACTATGCCAATATGTCGGCTTACAAGGAGATATTATGTCAAGGTTATTTATAATAGTGTGATACAGTTGTCGGATTAATTAGTCGTGAGCCCCAATACGTGTGTTTTCATTGTAATATCCAAAAAAGTTATTAAATTGGATGTCTGTAATTCTAAACAGAGGTGGGCAGTATATGGCAGTCCCCGCAGCGATTTTTTATAGTTATTGTTGCAGCTTGTAATGGCGCTGTGGCATAAGATTCGAATGCGTGGTGATTTAAGCATTTCCTAACCAACACTGCTGTTTCTCCATACGCCATTCCATCTGGGTGGTTTGTAACATATATTCTAAATCCCGGTATAAATAAATTGTTTTTGTTCGTAAGATGAGTTTCTGACTAAAGCATTAAATCATTATTATTTTCACTCAGAAATCTAATAAGTTCCAATATATGTTGGTTAACACCGTTTGCATTCCACAAACAAATGTTCAATACACTAATTTTTTACTTAAAAAAGTTTGCAACATTTGGTTTTGTGATTTGATTATCTCTTGAATGATATTTTTCATTGACTTCATAAATTGTGTCATACATTGGGTAAGGTTGAAAATCATAGTTTCAACGCTTCCATTTGGTTGGTTTTGGAACAATTGCATTTGTGCAGTGTAGCCTTTTACCACGTTTTCATAGCTTCCTTGTGTAGCATTGTCTTTAAGATTTACTGGTTTTGAAATAGGGACGAAGATTTCTATATCTTCTATATCTTCATTAGGAGGAATATTCATCATTTTGTTACGACGTGATTGAAAAAACGTGACAAACTGTGACAACGTCGATTTCAAATCTTTGTATATAGGGCAACATCTGTAGTTAGCAGTGTGATTTCCTTCACAATTGCTGCATTTTTTGTTTTAAGTCCTCTTTTTTGAGAGTACATTTTGAAGTAGGATGTAAACAATACACCACACAGACACAGCGTAGAGTGCAATATGCTTTCGTGTGTCCATACTCTTGTCAGTTTGTATATTGTACTTTACCATTTCTGTTATGTGGTTCATCAACGGTAGTTCTGCGATGGCGCAGATATTTTAAATTGTAAATCGAGTGTATTTAATTTGTCTTTAGTTGGTTACAATTTGTGTTCAAATGACTTAAGCATCTCTCTGTCATGTACTTATACACCACTCTGCCTTGGGAAAACTGGCGCACCCTAGGACAGCACCATGACCCTCAGCCAGCGATCACCGCAGGATAACAGCATACATCATCAACCTAATCGGACATTTCGCACGTCAACATACGTTACAGACACTTCGCACATCAATTTTCGTTGTTTCAACACCCAACCCGCGCGCTGCAATCAACATTCGCTTATACTTTTGATAACGACAACGGTCCTGCGTGCAATTCTTCAACCATCCCGAATGTCAATATACTATACTTCGTCCAAGCGATCTTACAACAAAATATTATTATAATATATATACTAACTATTGTTACTTATGTTAAGTATAATAACGAAATAATAATATACATATATTATATATGCGTATACGAAACTTATCGGATTTCATTTAAGTTATTGGCGAGGTTTTGAGTGTTGTGAATTTAAAAAAAAAACCTAGAATTTTTTGTGGGACTTTGTTCCTGTTAAAAATATCGTTAGAGTTTACCGAAGACTCTATACCTTTTATGACAACAACTAGGCCTTTTGAGCTCTTCAGTTGGTAAGATTAGTAATTTTTGTTATTGTTTGACAAGTACTTTACAATATCCATGAAATTTTTTTTAATGTATGTTTGGATTTTGTTTCATCTATGTTGCCTTTTTTCAAGGGCACAATATGAAAATTGTTTGTGCCTATTAAATTGCTTAGTTTGGAGACAAGTGTATTTGAGCTACGCTCACGCAAATAAATTGGATGGGGTTTGGCATTTACGACTGTGGTTGCATCGTCGTTAGGCTCGTTGAAGCTGAAGCACTTTGGACTGGGATCGAGGAGGTATAGTATGCAATTTCAGAAAGTAGGCGCCAGAAGTTAGTAAAAAGTTTGCTCGACAATGCCAAGCAATTTTGAAGATTAGTTTACGCACTACAAAATATTAACGTTATGAGTGCTAAAAGCAATAACACTTAAAACATTTCTAATAAATTTTTTTAATTTCGTTGAAGAGGCCTACTGTGCTATTTCAATGTCCACACCAAAATATGAAATTGGTAACTAAATAATCGTTTTGAAAAGAACTCTTGAAGCATCTCTTTATTTCTTGTACATAACTTATTTACTTATTCCTCAATTTATACTATGATATTAAAAAAAAAACATTTTTATTTTATTAATAATTAGCTTTATTAAGGAAAATAAATTGTGTATTAACAATAAAAATAATGACTATTCACATCTTCAGAAAAAAGAATTAAAATTTGAGCAAAGGAAAGATCAATTTACAAAATTTGATAAGTGATAGAACAGGTAAGTTGATTATGCTTACCCCGTCAAAAAAACATTGCGGGACTTATTGTTTTCTACGTAAATAAAAATGTTTTTTGCTCGCGACATATACAATTGTTCGTGGTAGAAGCAAGGGATGCCCAGGTGAATGTCGGCAAAGTTCTTGGTCTCTTCTTGGCCTCCAGTGATAAAGCACCCAATTCTGCTTTTTATCCGAAAAAAATTAAAATGTGTATTAACCATGTCTTTGTAAAAATGAAATGTTATTAAGGTTATGTAATATAAAAAAATGTTACTTACCGATTTCGCTCGATGACATGGCGCAGAATCATCCGGAAAAATTATGTTGTCCACATAGGAATAGTGCTCTTCAGTTGAAGGGACTAGATTTTGTTGTAAGATCTGTTGGTATTTAATGGCGTTAATATTTCCATCAATGAAGGCCAAATGTCCAACACCTTGATAGGAAAAATATCCCCACATCATCCGACTCCCCCTCTGCCTGACGGTACGTTTGACACACTCATTACTGAAACGTTTACCAACTCTTCTGCGAACGTACGATATTCCGTCTGAACTGAAGATGTTAATTTTGGACTCATCTGAAAACATGACTTTTCTCCAATCTTCTTTGGTCCAGGTCTTACGCAGTTTTGCCCATTGGAAGCGTTTTTGTTGCATTTTTACCGTAAATCGTGGCAGAAAAATTTGGCAGAGCGACAGGCAACTAGTCCGACTTCTCGGAGGCGCCGTTGTACTGTTCGCGTACTCTTTACGGTTCCATTTAACTTCTCAATTTCGCTTCTGATGTCTTCAGCTGTTTTAAATCTGATCTGAATACTAATCCGCTAAATATGGTGAGTGGTCATCCTTGGTAGTAGTCTCCTTCGGGCGTCCGGCACCCGTTTTGTGTTTTAAAGACTTAGTCTTCGCATATCTCTGAGGGAAAACACCGACAGTAGTTTTGATAAAATTTATTTTACCACTAATTTCACATATACTCAAGTTTTGCGATCGCAAAGCCAAAATTGTTGTCAACATTTTATTTGAAATACTTGTGTATACTCAGGAATATAAATAAGAGCGTTTTATTGTAGCTGAATAATGTACTTACTAAAATAAATACTTCCTTGTATAATAAAGTTTGATTTGTTAACACTACATCGATTTAAAGTCACTACAACTAAGTGTCCCATTTTTTTGTCCGCTACTGTACTTATATAAATGATAAGTGTGTTGAGCTGAGTCGACTTAACCATATACGATCTAGTCCCTCAGTTTTTAAGATATTATTTTGAAATTATGCAAACGTAATTTTTTCTTCAACAGGCTGCTCATTTGTCGGAACTGCGGATATCGGACTACTATAACATACAGCTGCCATACAAACTGAACGATCGGAGTCAGGTTCTTGTATGAAAAACTTTCACATTTGACAATGTATCTTCATAAAAGTTGGCATAGATTATTTTCTAAGATAAAATATACAAAGAAATTCAGATGGGCTTTTATAGCATACAGCTGCTATACAAACTGAATGATCGGAGTCTAGTGCTGATATGCAAAACTTTTGCATTTGACAAGATATATTCACGAAATTTGGTATACATTATTTTCTTAGGCCACAATATAAACTCCGAAGAAATTGTTCAGATGGGTCAACTATAGCATATAACTGCCATACAAACTGAATAATCGGAATCAAGTTCTTGTATGGCCCGATATATTCACGAAATTTGGTATTGATTATTTTTTAAGGCAACAATGTATTCTCCGAAGAAATTGTTCAGATCGGATTACTATAGCTCAAGGGCTTGTATGGAAAACTTTCTCATTTGACGTGGTATCTTCACGAAATTCGGCATGGATTACTGCTTAAGGGGGTATTCTTGTTTAGAAGCCCGAATTTTAGGTATTTTTTTTTTGTGACGCGATAAAAAAAAAAATCAAAAATTATTTTGACTATCTGTTTGTATACACGGTTTTTACTGATATTCTAAGAGCACAAAACATAAATAATATAAGAGAAAAAATTAAATTTAAAAAAATGCAGGTCGGCGAAATATAGACTGATAAACAATGGCTTGTCCTGGTGTGCAGGTTATAAATCCTTTCCGTGACTTAAAATGAAAATTTAGCGAAATAAGTGAAGAGTAAAAGTGTAGTTATCGCACTACGAAACGTTTTTGAAAAAAAAATTATTATACGAAACGGTGGAGGTTTAAAAAAAAGTTCCGTATTTTCCCTGATTCTTTGTGGTTCGGAATTAAAAAAAAAAAAGAAAAATCTCTCGAAAGCTCTTCGTAGTGTGATACTATAATGTATAAGAAAGCTCTGCGTAAAATTTCATGCGAATCGGTTGAGATATCATGTACACCGTTTCTAGAAATGTAGTTATGAGAAAAACGAGTTTCAAGTTGTCACCGGTTGCGAAACGGTTTTGTCGGCGCGTCACAAAATTAGCTGTAACTCGGAAAATAATTTGAATTTCGAAAAATCCTCTTAGGGATATTTTTTGTAACGGAATATTTCATATAATACGTTTGCAAAGATCAACTATATGTAACTAATTATATGTCATAGACTCACTTAGGTTTATTCCTATATTACAATTCGAGCAAGCTTAAATTGTATTAATATCATATTCAAATGAGATACATATACATACGTGATATAAACTCAACCACAGAATCTTAAGTTTACATATTGAGTTGATGTCAAAAACGTCAATCAGAATATCGGAATTGATTGTATTAGGATATTATTGTTTAGATATGTATGTGAAAAAAATTATATATTTATAGTAATTTTTGTGAAAGTCAAGGAATCAAATTGTTCAGCTAGATCGAAAAAAAAATATAGAACAAAGGTTATGTTTTTATGTAAAGAAGCAAACACATGGGAAAAAGAACGCATTTGGCACTATCAAACTGTATCTTAAATAGTGTTGGTGGAGGAGCCGACAGAATATTAGCTGTAAGAAGCGGTTTTGCTTGTAATAGAAATTTGTATTTTATGGAAGTAGTGATGCTTGTGGTAGTAATTTGCTTTTGAATGTTCTAACGACATTATTTTAATTTGTTTGGTTTTATTATTTTATTAGCGGTTATTTATAATTTCTTACTTTATCGGTTTGGTATACCAGTTGTTTATTTTTTGCCATTTCTGCGTTATCGGCAATGGTTTGTATTTTACTTATTCAGGGCTTATGAAGAACAGTAACTCAACGCCTGGCTCAGATAAGGCGAGATACTCCTTAGCCATGGATCTTGCTTCAATTCTTAAAGTAGAGAATTCTGCATAATTAATTTGAAACTTTATACAGCTGATTCCCATAACCCATCCATATGAGAAGCGATAACAGCGACCATTGCTTTTTGTATGCGTAGGTGCGTCACTGTATCGGAATGCGAATATGGTAATCCCTTAATAGTCCTTTTGAGTTTTTGTTTATTATTTAAAAATTTATCTTTGACGCAATATTGAATTAAATATATTGTATGTGCCGATTTTTCGACTTTCTGAAACGTACTGGAACATGGCATCGCTTTGTGTACGCACATAGATGTTGTGCAATATGGATATGCAGAAGCCATATTGTTTGGCTTGGTATTTGGGGAATAGTTTACCCTTCGCGGTATTTGTATCAGCAAAACTGCAGTTCTACAAGTATTTTACTTGTTCGTCTCACAAATTTTGGGTCAGGAATCATAATTGGCAAAGGTCCTCCTGGAGGCATATGTATATTTGATTTTTTTATATTGGGATTGTTGGGATATTTGCTGTAGTGAAGCATTGAATGGTGACTTCTGTGATAATATAAGCAATTGTATTAGCTTTTGCAATGTTTACATGAATGCGCATGTGACAAGCAATTTATACATAATTTTCTCACGAAATTATTTCTTACATTCATTTTTAGTTTTTTTTTTTTAACTTGTCGCAGCATATAAGTTTATGCTCTCTTGTGCATAGTTCACACAAGAATGCTTTGTGAATGCTTTTTGTTTTTTGGTTCCTTCTAGCTTGAAGTCTTAATGTTTTGTGAATGCCTTCTTTTTTGTTTCTTTTCGGTTGAAGTCTGGTTAAGCTTCGATTTTGGTCGTGTTTAATTTTTTTTGTTCTATTTTTTTCTCTACTCTTTCCGCTTTTTTATAATAGAAAGTTAGAAAATCTTTCATTTGTTGTGTTGTTTGGCACTTCTTTCGTGATGAAATTGATTGTTCCCACAAAAGTAATGATTTTCCTGGTATTGCGGCGTATATATGTATGGTCGTGTTTAATTTTTTTTGTGCTGACTATTTTTTTCTTTACTCTTTCCGCTTTTTCATCATAGAAAGTTAGAAAATCTTTCATTTGTTGTGTTGTTTGGCATTTCTCTCGTGATGAGATTGATTGTTCCCACAATAAAAACGATTTTTCTGGTATTGCGGCGTATATATGTATGTACATACATATTTACCAGAATAGAGATCTATCTATGCGGATGTTTTGTGTCGATAGTATCGACAAACAATGTGATACTATGGACTCTAGTTTGACGAATTGTACACTTGTTTCTTTCTTTTCTTTCATTTTCTTAACGTGATTTTAGAGCTTCCCAAGCAAAATTAAAATTTTCGTCATTAGGAGCGAACTGTTTTACTATCATACCTGCTTGACCTTTAATTTTGTACCGGAGGTTATACAATTTTTGTGCTTTTGATAGTTGCGGATGGTTGGGGTAAAGGACAGCCATTCTTCTTATCCTCCAAAAAAACGATTTTGTGTCACTTGCCTGTACCTTGAGATGGATGGCAGAATCTGCCTTTTGGTTATCTATTTGTGGCAGCTCTACTCTCGGATGTGGAGTAAGTGCAACTGGTTACTAGCTTTAATTGATCGGAGATCATAGCTTTTGTTACTTCAAACTGGTCTAAGCAGTTCTCGTATATTGCGTAAGCCTATTGTTTCAAATTTTGTGGTAGGTCTGAATCGTCAGATTCAACTCTGACGTAATAAGTCGCTTAGATGTGAGTCCAAAGATTTTTAAAATTTTGGCTTTTTATTTCTATTACGATTCAGATTTTTCTTGAGTCGGTGCAGATGCAAATCTAATGCAGATTCTTGTTTAGCTGTAAATAAATTTAATAGCCTGCTTTTCCGTGTAGCTCCTGCAGGTCCATTTTGATTTTTGTCGTTATTAACCATTTTGATTTTATTATGGAATATCTGTATCTGCGTAACTTATTTAAATAAGGCAATAGGGTATTTGGTTGACACCAAATCAAAAAGCATTTCGTGTAGTCATAAAGCATTGCGTTTTGGAGGAAAAATACTGTTGAATTGAGGCTGTGCACCAGTGAAATCGAGACCACTCGGCTGTCAGCCAACATGTCGTCAAATGGTTCAACAGTTCTCAAACGTGGAAAGATAAGCAAGTCGGTTGGTAAGGTCATGGCTTCAGTCTTTTGGAATGCACGTGGTATATTATTCATCGAATGATTACTGAGCCAGTTTTAATCCATTGCACTGCGTATTTGGTGGCAGTTCTATTCTATCATTTCTGTATATCTTAAATTATAATAGACCTTTCTATCAACACTACAGTTATTCGGTAAACTTTTTATGCTAGATATCGGGTTTGGTTTGTTATGAATGCATTTGCGTACTTCGTCTATAATCTAGCAAAGTATCTGCAATGCTTTCACGACGAAAATGTCAATGTATGGATATATAAACTTTTACTTATTTCTTTCTATTTTTGAATTACTAAAATTTTAAACTTGTAAACAAATGCTTATGATCTGAAATATAATTTTTCTAGTTCTGAATGAATTTTAATATAAAGAGATAACCCTGGTTCTAAGCTACCTCCCCACCAATTTTCAGTGAAATCGGTTGTGACGTTCTTGAGCATATAGCTTGCGTAAATAGGGAATTTATAAATAAAACGAAAATTTTTCAATCATCATCCATATTTATTTTATCGCGTTGAAAGTAACATCAATTAGAAGCGATATACGTTAGGGTGGGTCGATTCCGGTTTTTTTTCGATTTGGGATTTCTAATAGTTATTTGTCACGTCATTTGCTACCGAAATGGTATATGATCATGGCCGTAGGACGAATCGTTCCCGAGATACGAGCGAAAGTGCGGCGCGCCACAGCGCAAGGTGAAAATCGGCTTGCGGCCACACTTCTTGACTTACATTACATTCATTCACCTACGCCAAAGGACACGTTCGGTTAGGTCTCCACACAAATATTATATCCGTACAACCTCTCTGAGTCCCAGTTACCTACTTACCAGGATGTTCTTTTGTGTTATCAGTTTGAAAGATTCGTATAGGGCGACTCCGAGGCGATAACTATGAACCTAGGAGTAAAGAGGTTACAGAAATAGTTGCAAAAAAGGTTGAAAATACTTTCAAA